GGTGTGTGTGTGAGGCGGAGGGAGGGTCTTGGGGGGGTGTGTGTGTGAGGCGGAGGGAGGGTCTTGGGGGGGTGTGTGTGTGAGGCGGAGGGAGGGTCTTGGGGGGGTGTGTGTGTGAGGCGGAGGGAGGGTCTTGGGGGGGTGTGTGTGTGTGAGAGAGAGACGGAGGGAGGGTCTGGGGGTGTGTGTGTGAGAACACCATTTCCCTCTAAGGACAGTACTGAACAGGGGAAATTCTGTCTGAATATGTGTGAAAGTGTTTGTCACAAAAATATTTTTACTGGAATATAATAAACCTGTTTTTATGTGGACCATGCGCTAGAGATTTCTGAAATTGATGAAAGCAGCCACGTGATTTGTTGATTAAGTATTTTGGGCAGATATAGTTTTGGGTTGGAGCTATCCAGGAGGGGGAGGATCACTCTGTATCTCGTCTGCTTCAAACCGCAGCTCTCTGTATTTAGTCAGTTATAAAATTCACCATCAAACCTGTGCTTCAAATCCGTGTTAGAGCTGAGAGATTTTGTTATTCTCCAGGTCCCCGTTCCAAAGGCTGACTTGTGACACACACTGTTGTCTGAAGGAGAAAATCGACCTGCTGATTGTGAAGTCTGCGAAAATGGCTGGTGTTTTCCTGGGGATCGTGCTTGCTGCGGGTTGGGGGGTATTATTCTGGCGAGCAAAGAGTTAAATAAATTGGTAATCGCCTGATACTCTTTCAACCTTCTGTTAAAACTGTGGTGTATATCTTTAGGAATATGACTCAGGATCCTAATGTGGGTTTGAACACAATAGCCGGTTGTTAAATGTCTCATAATGTGTTTCATCATCTGTAGGACAGATCTGAATCCATTTGGAGGTATTGGTTATGGGGTTGATGTGATTTATGACTGAGTTACTAACTGAACTACCTGCTGACTTGCTATTTGTGCTGTCTTTGATCTCTCTCTCTCTCTCTCTCTCTCTCTCTCTAGGCAGCTACAGATAGCTCATCGAACTCATCGAACAGGAAGGAGCAGGTGGTCCGAGCACTCAGTACAACAGTCAGTGACCCTCAGCGTGCTCTCTGTACCCTGGGTTATGCTCATGATCACTACAGTCCTGACCACTGTCGCCTGGAGCAGGTGAGAAGCACTGGGTCTCTTTAGCAGCACTAGACAGTGAGCTATCCATTAGCTTGGGAGCCTTAGGGGAGGAAAGAAATCCCAACAAAATACATCGCACAAAGATGTTTTAGTATGACAAATATTTACCTGTCTTTTGAAGGTCAGATTGGAACTCAATTGAGAGAGCGAGTTGAAGAGCATTTTAAACAGTGTCAGGTCTAGAATACAGCCAGTGTGCCATAATTCAATCATATTTATACTGAGAGATACCCTCTCCACTCCTGCTGCCTGCCAGTTCGGTCTGTGCTTTTAATTTTCTTTGACTTTGTTCTTGGTGATTTATAATCAAAAGGAGTCACTGTTTCATTCCGAAGCTGTTTTTTTTCCCCCAAAGTGACGGCTAAAGCAGCTTGTAGTATGACACACTGAGCAAGATTTCACCACCAGTTCCTGGAACATTCACTTATTCAGGAGCAGCTCTTTAGATGGTTTGCCAAACTGGGAAAAAGGACAAATCTATTCCACATGATTTTTGTGTCACAGGTCAGTGTCAGGAACCTGTCGAAATTGGCTTCTGTTTCATAGTTTCGATGGCTCTCGTTTTTGTGATGTCTGTGATAACGGGGGGACCTGAGAATTGGTTTGTCTTCAGTGGGTTGCTGTGATACAGGACAGGCTATTGCCTGAAGGGGCAAAGTGAGAACAGATTCCCCAGAAATGGAAACTTCAAAAGAGGATAGGAGAAATGCCTGAAACAGAGAAACTTTGGTTTCTCAGAGAGAGACTTCCATATAGCACTTCTCACAACTTTGGACATCCCAAAGCAGGTTAGCGTTAGTAATGTACTTTGGAAATGTAATTTGGTAGGGTGTGGGATTGAGATTAACTGAACAGCTTTAAAAGGACCGTTCACTGACTCACGGGGCTAAGCACCTCCCACTGTGCTGCAAGGTTCTTGGGACATTATAGGATAGAAACACCGAGTCATACAGCACGGAAACAGACCCTTCGGCCCAACTTGTCCGTGTTGACCAGGTTTCCTATACAACTCGTCCTATTTGCCTGCATTTGGCCCATATCCCTCTAAACCTTTCCTATCCATGTACCTATTATGTCATTTTTGTTCCAGGACAAGAAACAAACAAACTTCGTTCACCTTGAATTAAAAAATACTAAACCTTCCCTCTAACCAAACCCATTTCCTATGGACTGTAAGGTTTGCAATCTTTCCAAACCAGGAAGAAGAACAGAGTTCACCTTTTCCAGGGAATATTCTTCCACCTAGTTGAAGGGTTTTGGGATGCAGTGTGATTTGAAAGCTATTCCTGGCCAACTTTAGCCAGCACTCATCACTAAGTAACTGAGAGACACAGAGCTTTTCTGTTACAGTGTGACCCAGAGCAGACTGAGCGACTAAAGCATTGGCAAGTCTTTAGCTGCAACATGAGCCATGTTGGGATTGCTTCAGTGCAGAATGTGTCTCATTCCATGTTATTATGATCCCAGCTGATGGTAACACTGAACCAATCAGATTCCAGAAACCTGGCTTGATAGATCATATGTTTAACTTTTTTTAGTTAGTGGTTAGTCTCTGAAAAATATTGCCACAAGGCTGTAGATGTTCTTTGACAGCAAGGCATAAGTTTATTACACAAAATAAAGAAAAGCAAACAAACCATATGTATTAGTTAGAAAAGTTTTAGCGCAAGTATCAAACCAAAGTTTCAACCTATTTTCCAACACTGTCCATTAGAGACTTATGTTCAGAGAAATTACAACCCCTAACATAGCTCTTTACATTTCTATGTAATTGAATCCTTACAGTTTTTTTCTCATGGTCTGTTGAGACAATTTGATTCCTTCCCAATTGCACTGACATGAACTTTTCACAAATCTAAGAGCCTAAACTTTCTCGGTTCTAATAACTCATGAATTTTGTCTACTCCCCTGGCTTGGAAGCTTCATGAAACTGGACTGTTCTGCTGAAGTGACTTGTTTCCGTAAACTGCCCTGAACTGCTAGAAGAGAATCTAACGTGTGCTTCTGATCCCAACCCTGGGCTTTTCTGAAGTGTAAAACCTGCTTCTGAACTCAATCTCTGCTTCTTCAGAACTAAATTGAAAAGTGGCCTTAAATATACTCGACCTAACTGTCATAAAGTAAACAGGATAAACATCTCTCCACTAACGCCACGGGGTTCTGCAGTCCCCTGCTTTCTCATAAATGCTGGATTAAGGTCACTTGTAGAATGTATTTTTTTCACTTCACTAACCCGCATTGACCTGCCACCACTATTATAAAAATCCAGATTTCAAATATAATGATGATAAAATTTTTATTGCGATGTAGAAGAATTGGGAGGAATTTCAGCTCCTGATTATCCTGTCAGTGGCCATCCTGCCAATTGTCAGCTGTGATTGGATAGGTTCCCAGAGAGAGATCACCAAATTCAGGAGGGGCGTAGGCTCTGCATGACACAGACCAATCAACTACTTCCTCATTCAGCTTCCCTTTTCGTTCTAGACATTTTTTTAAAAAGTGTAATCTACCAAAACAGAATATTTGAGGTTTTATTTGCAAAGAATCACTCCTCACAAGAACAAATTAACCTGCTTAGTTAAACACTTAGAATCCCTCTGGTAAATCCTGGCTCGTAGAACTAATGAGTAAGGCTGCTGCAGTAATGGATGGAAGGCGATGGTTAGGCCACACCAGGAAAATTGTGTAGTTTTGGTCTCCTTATCTGAGGAAGGATGCTCTTACTAAAGAGGAAATGTAGCAAAGGTTTACTGGACTGATTCTTGGGATGATAGGACTGATTTATGAGGAGAAATCGAATTGGTTAGGATTATATTTGCTGGGATTTAGAAGAATGAGGGGGAATCTCATGGAAATCTTTAAAATTCTTAATGGGCCAAAACAGGTTAGATGCAGGAAGGATGTTCCTGATGGTGGGGGAGTCCAGAACCAGGGGTCCTAGTTTATGGATAAGGGGTAAACATTTTAGGACTGAAATGAGGAGAAACGTCTTCACCAGAGATTGGGAGCCTGTGGAATTCGCTACCACAGAAAGCAGTTGAGGCCAAAACATTGTGTTTTCAAGAAGGAGTTAGATGTTGCTGTTGTAGATAAGAAGATCAAGGGATAACACTCTGAATGGTAGGAACATGGGTTACTAGTGGTGTACCTCAAGGATCTGTTTTGGGGCCACTGCTGTTTGTCATTTTTATAAATGACCTGGATGAGGGCGTAGAAGGATGGGTTAGTAAATTTGCGGATGACACCAAAGTCGGTGGAGTTGTGGATAGTGCAGAAGGATGTTGTAGGTTACAGAGGGACATAGATAAGCTGCAGAGCTGGGCTGAGAGGTGGCAAATGGAGTTTAATGCGGAAAAGTGTGAGGTGATTCACTTTGGAAGGAGTAACAGGAATACAGAGTACTGGGCTAATGGTAAGATTCTTGGTAGTGTGGATGAGCAGAAAGATCTCGGTGTCCATGTGCATAGATCACTGAAAGTTGCCACCCAGGTTGATAGCGTTGTTAAGAAGGCGTACAGTATGTTAGGTTTTATTGGTAGAGGATTGAGTTTCGGAGCCATGAGGTCATGTTGCAGCTGTACAAAACTCTGATGCGGCCGCACTTGGAGTATTGCATACAGTTCTGGTCACCGCATTATAGGAAGGATGTGGAAGCATTGGAAAGGGTGCAGAGGAGATTTACCAGGATGTTGCCTGGTATGGAGGGAAGGTCTTATGAGGAAAGGCTGAGGGTCTTGAGGCTGTTTTCGTTAGAGAGAAGAAGGTTAAGAGGTGACTTGATAGAGACATACAAGATGATCAGAGGATTAGATAGGGTGGACAGTGGGAGCCTTTTTCCTCAGATGGTGATGGCTAGCACGAGGGGACATAGCTTTAAATTGAGGGGTGATAGATATAGGACAGATGTCAGAGGTACGTTCTTTACTCAGAGAGTAGTAAGGGCGTGGAATGCCCTGCCTGCAAAAATAGTAGACTCGCCCACTTTAAGGGCATTTAAATGATCATTGGATAAACATATGGATGATAATGGAATAGTTTAGGTTAGATGGGCTTCAGATAGGTTTCACAGGTCGGCACAACATCGAGGGCCGAAGGGCCTGTACTGCGCTGTAATGTTCTATGTTCTATGTTCTATGTTCTATGTTCTATACAGTAGATCAGAGGGACCTTTGTGTCCATATCCACAGGTCCCTGAACGTAGCAGAGCAAGTAGGTAAATAAGGTTGGTTAACAAGGCAAATGGCATACTTGGCTTTATTGGCTGAGGTGTAGAATACAAGAGCAGGGAGATTATGCTGGAGCTGTTTAAAAAATTGGTTAGGCACAGCTGGAGTACTTTGTCTAGTTCTGGTCACATCCTTACAAGATGGACATGATTGTACTAGAGAGAGTGCAGAGGAAATTTACCAGGATGTTGCCTGGCTGGAGGCTCTGAGCTATCAGGAAGGATCGGATAGACTGGGATTATTTTCCTTGGAGCAGTGAAGGTCGAGAGGGGACTTGATAGAGGTGTGTAAGATTATGAGGGGCATAGATAGGGCTGATAGGAAGGCAGATTTTCCAAAGGTAGATGACCAATAACCGGTGGGCAGAGAGTAAGGTTGACACAAGATTTGAACAGAAATGTTTTCACCCAAAGGATGGTGTGGGAGGCTGGAACTCACTGTCTGAGAGGCTGGTTGAGTAACATTTAAGCAGAATTTAGATATTCACTTGCTGCGCCAGAGCCTCCAGGATATGGGCCAAGAGCTGGAAAATTGGATTAGTGTAGTCAGATCTTTGTTAACCAACACAGACACAGTGGGCCGAATGGCCTCCATCTGTGGGTGCTGTAAACACTGGAGTCTGAGACACATGAAATGCAGGCAGGGATGGTGTTGCATGCTCCTGTCTGACCTATTGACCTGAAATTTAATGTATCCTCATCACACTCGACTCGTTTAAAAGGGGACTAGTCTCGAATTTTTTGACATTTTTTTACAAGTGTGATGTTTCAATTTTAACTTTGTTTAAATGTGGCCCATTCAAAGATACAATGTCAAGAAGAAATGAGCACAGAAAGGAGCAGGTGTGTTTTTTTATGGGAACCGGTGTATGTTATGGGGTGGTTCGGTTTCAGTTTTGCCATTTCACCTTCAAAACATGCACTGACTGAAATGTTATCAAATTATATTTCCATTAGTGATGTGTTCTCAGTGCAGTTGATTACAAGCAGTAAACGCTTGGTCTGTTTACTGTGAACGAAAGCTGTGTGTCATTACAAATGTCAAAATTGTAGATGTGACTGTTTTTATTCACAATTTTGGTGTGGGAGCAACGTTCCTGAGCAAGATCTCCCAGCAAATATGCTTTGGATCAAGAAATAGGAAACACAGGAAGTCCCTAACAAGTACTTTGTGACAAAACACTGTCTGGCAAATGGCAGGTTTTGAACTCCCATGACGAGAGTGAGCCTTGCTAAATAGGATCAAGACAAGCCCCGGCCCCTGCTCAGCCAACTTCCACCAGTGGGGCTTCAGGATAAACTCTCTATGGACTTGTAGAGGGACCGACAATTCTGCACATTACCAAGGAATGTCCCCTCTACAAACAAAATCACAAACCAATCACCTCAAGCTCAGCAAAGGAGGAGGCTGTCACTTGGCCTTGAGAATTTACATTCGCTAAATAAATATGATGAGGAAGGCATCATTCTGTGCCAAGTCTCCTCGCCTCACCCCATGGCGACCAGCTGCAGCTGTTTTCTTTTAAAAAAAATAAAGGAGCCATACTGCATGGAGACGGACCCTTCTGAGAGAGTTATGTTGCGTTTTGTCTGCAGCAAGAACTGTCCGCGACCAGCAACCTCCTGCCATCCTATCAGCGCTCAATCAGCAGTTTGTACACGGTCACTTCTGAGTGCATTGGAAAGAGCGATTAGTGGGAGAGATTGTTCATTCTAACTTGCTGAATGTTCCTGATGTTATGTTGGCATGTACTACTAGCTCCTGTGGTGTAAATTTTAAAACATTCTACAACAAAGTGTAGAAGAAAACAAATTAATGTCTTTCTTTCTTTATATTTTAGTCTATACCGAAACAGCGTCACGTCAGTTTTCGTGATGATGATGAGGAAATTGTCCGGATTAACCCTAGGGAGAAAACCTGGTTAAGAGAGAGGTACGAGGACTACAGATACGCAGCTGTCCGGCCAAAGTATAATGCTGAGATGGACTCCTATGTGCATTTTGACAAAAGCGACGCTTCAAAGCATGACTACAATTACCCTTACGTAAAAAACTCCGACTTTGGGCTTTGCAAAGATATGAAAAGCAGCGTCGTGAAGGCTCAGCCTGTGCCGTCGAAATCGAAATTCCGGAGAAGGATAGACGATGGCGAACGGTCACGCTGTGTCTACTGCAGGGACATGTTTAACCATGAGGAGAATGGCCGTGGGCAGTGCCAGGATGCCCCGGATCCCATTCGAGCCTGTATCCGTCGTGTGAGCTGTATGTGGTGTGCAGACAGTATGCTGTATCACTGCATGTCCGATCCAGAAGGAGACTACTCAGACCCTTGTTCTTGTGACACCAACGATGAAAAGTTCTGCCTTCGTTGGCTAGCTTTGATAGCCTTATCCTTCCTAGCTCCCTGTATGTGCTGTTACCTGCCTCTTCGCGCATGCTACAAATGTGGTGTGATGTGTAGATGTTGTGGTGGGAAACACAAAGCAGTCGGGTGACTTGTACTGTGTCTTTTCTTCAAGCCGCCATCAGTTAATGAAGCACATTTAGTTCTGAAGCATTATCGATGCAGTTACTATCAGCGACAGTAAACTGGGGAAGTGACTCCTCCAATAACCTGGGTCCTGTAACATTGAGAAACACCAAGGCTGTATCTATTCTGCAAACGTTACATAGAGCTGACTGTAATAACTGACTTTTCTATGAATGAATATATATGTGTGCGTGTGCGTGTGTGTGTGTGTATATATATTATATATATATATTTTATATATATATATATATAAACAGAATGTCTCATGTTTATAATTTTTTTTAATTGTAAGAGGCTGAGACTGAATAATGTTTTCAAGGTGACTGTTTGGGGAGGGGTGGGGGGATATCGCTGGCCACAGTGCAATTGTGTGAACTGCCGACTGAATACAGCACTCAGTGAGGAGATTGGCATGAATAGTTCCTGCTTAATCACCAGAGACACTTAACCTGTAGTCAGGAACCCTCTCTGACCTTGTTTAAGGAGCCGTACTGGTAAACATGTACCAAGCACGGTACTGCTGTTACTGTATGAAGCCAAAATAATGCTGTTTGTTAAATGCACCTCAGTTATTTATTCAACAAACGCTCTTTGCTTCATCAACAACTGTGGGCATTGCCCTCCTGAGCAAAGTTACAAAATAATAAAACTTCACCTCGGATTTCATACAGTTACCAAGCCTTAAAAACGTTGCCCCACAGTTTTTTAAGCATCAGTCCTACATTAGTGAACATTTAAATTGGTTTTAATGTAAAATTATGGATTTTATTTTAAGGAAATTTTTCTATTTATTTGGGGTCCTTGAAGCAAGTTCTCATTGTTTTAACAAAAAAAAAGTTGTCAATACACTAAAGTTTGTCAGATTACACTTATCTAACTAAACTCCAAACTGCCTGCTCTGTATTTACACAGCGACATAGCCATCTGCAATGAGAGGGAACACAGTGTCAGATCACTACAGACAGGGTGGGGAGAAGATGAGCTGCTTCCATTCTGGTGGTCTGTGTCCGTAGACCCAGTTTGCCAACCTCTTACCGTTTTGCAGGGACTGAGTCCCATGCATTGTTCAGTTTCAGAGACCGAGTGGACCAGAGGGACATTAAAAGTGACCAAGTGCACTGTGAGCTGTGCACAAGGTACAGCCTCCAGGGGCTGGGGGTGACTGGGGGTGGTGACTCCTGGCAGGTCCAAGTTAGTTTTTTTAAAAGAAAAAGACCGAAAACACAAAGTGTCCTAGAAGATAGGAATTATTGAGGCCTTACCTGGTGTGTCGTGTGGTCACACTGGCTATAGATGGCTGAGGGAAAGACTTTCCCTCCAAATCTTAATAGCTCAGGTCACTAAGGGGATTGAACAAAACCCTCCATTAGAAAGCTTAAGCTTTGAAAGACTATTTTTATAACACAGCACAGGGAGTAGCCTTTTTGTTTTAATTTATTTGATAAGTGGTAGTTTTTCATTTTAGCCTTGCTGCGTTGTACAATCCGACCCCTTATTTGAAGGTCAGCTTTCAGGAACTGGTCTGTTGGAACTGACATCTCTTCCGTACTGTCCCTCTGCGAGTTAATTGCCAGTCCATTCCACATCCTTAACCCCCCACCCCCACCTTCCTCTGTTGCACCATAACATCAGTCCACTTCCTTTCCAATGAACACTGGGAGCTGCACGTTGGGGATGTTTGATCAAGCAGAATACCCCCCACCCCTACCCACTCTTTAATGAAAGCATTACTTGTTGCATTATTTTCCCACTACCTGAGCTGTTGCATTTTTTATTTAAATGATTTGAAAGCTTCCAATGCACAGACAAGAGACTTTCTTAGGAAGAAAAGCAAGTTACGAGTCTTACTGCTAATTTTCATTTGGCAGGACCGCTGTTTGATGTCAGTGTGACGCAAGTGAAATGTATTAAATTAACTGGACGTTAATCCACCAGTATCGCAGTGTAAAAAGCATTACAACATTGAGCTGAATTCTCTAGCGGACATATTTCCAAATGCAACATTCGCCCAGCATCGTATGCACACAGATTTTCAAATTGTGATTTTACTTCTCTTGAGATCACTGTGAGGTCTTGACTGCATTGGAACACAAAGCACAAAACACAGGCTTAAATTGACACTAAACCTTTTTGAGATCCTGCAGTAACCCAGCAGTTCACTGGCACAATGTTGGTTACGGTGCCTCTGAATCTGTTTCCACCGAGGCTCCCGATATTGCCCACGTTCACCGTAATCCACATATATAGGCACTTCTTGCCACAAATACTGCAAATCTATAAAATGAGGGGAGCAGTTAACAGGGAGCCACATCCAAGGCACTTCTCTTGTACATAGTTCACCCACACTGGTGTTGAGCCTTTACAGTTGGCTCCTAACAGTACAAGACAGTAGTCTGAGGTGGAGGGGGAGACAAATCAAATTTATTTTTGTATCTGTGGTAAGAAAGTTAACCAAAAGCTGTTGGTGCACAGTCTTCAACCATTGCACACCTTAATGGATGAAAAGAAAGTGCCTGCACTATTGTCTCTTCTGTAACTAAAAAAAACTCTTGTATCAATTATTAGTTTTTTTACAATAAGCATTTTTACCTCTGTGTAAAAAAAATATATCAAGTGTATGATGTACATTTTAGTTCTTCTATTTTTTTTATTGTTTCTAATGTGTATGATGTAATCCTTGCTTTCCAGTACTATGTAAATACAAATACGTCATTATCAAAACTACAAAATAATGGCCTGACCAGTACATAATTCTGCTACTTCCATGTCGTATCTTAACTATGTACCTTGGCAGATCCAATGACAATAAAATGAAAAGAACATTGACATTAAAACTGTTGTGGATGGTGGATTGGGAAACTTCTTCAACAGGAGGTGCTAACAATTTCGTTATTTTACGGTCATGAGCTGGAGCCTGTTATGTTTCATGCTGTGTCACCATCAGAACAAGGGACAATGAGTTTGGACAGGCAGTCATCAGTGTTGTGTGCAGCTTTGGGACTCGAACAATGGCAGGGTTGTAGCATGGATCCACTGGGCTTGATGAGTGATGGCCACTCCCCCAATCACTCTCTCAGTAAAGACCAAAACAATTACCCTTCAACTCCCCCTTGGTCATTCTTCCCAAATGATTCCCCCCCCACCCCACCTCCCTCACCACTCCTGCCCAGAGGTATGTAACAGCCACTGAACAGGTTGATTAGAAAGAGTCACAGTCAATGCTCTGACAACTTACAAACAAGACAGGATCCCCTCGCGAATGCTGCAAGTAAAACCAAGGGCAATCAATTCTTTGAAACAAAGCATGCCTTGCCTTTTTAATACCACCCATTCTACTGTTGCATTTCATCAGTAAATCGGCAAATGTATAAATTATGACTTTTCACCTTTTGCTAAATTGAAAGAATCAAATGACTAAAACTAAAAACCGAAAGAACTGCGGATGCTGTAAACCAGAAACAAAAAAACAGAAATTGCTGGAAAAGCTCAGCGGGTCTGGCAGCATCTGCAGAGAGAAAGCAGAGTTAACGTTTCGGGTTCAGTGACCCTTCAGACCTTCCTTGTTTTGAGGAAGGGTCATTCAACCTGAAAGGTTAAGTCTGATTTCTCTCCACAGATGCTGCCAAATGACTAAAAATGCCTCTCAAAAATTAGTGTAAATGTCTTAAGGGTTTGTTTCTGGAATGTTCATTCATCTTTGTTTTATTTTTGGTGAACATTTTGCATTTCCCTGCTGTAAAGTCCATGTGTTTTGTTGGTGTCTGGGCTGTGGATGTCACTAGCTAAGCCAGTCCCCTGGTTCTTGTGTATTTCAGCAAAGTGGAGGGCATGGGTCTAGCCTTCTCTAGGGATTTCTGCTCCAGTTTCGAAGGGATCTTCTCAGAAGGCGAAGAAGTGGAATTGAGCAATGGTTCAGTCATTGAGGAACACCTTCGTATCACTTTTGAGCTGTTCCTCCTGCAGGTTCCTATTAGTTTCCTGCCCCCAAGCCCCTTGCCCACGTTCAACAACAACTTATATTTGTATAAGAGATAACAAGGTGTAGAGCTGGATGAACACAGCAGGCCAAGTAGCATCAGAGGAGCAGGAAAGCTGACGTTTTGGGCCGAGACCCTTCTTCAGAAATGA